GGACGCAAGCCCGGGTACGGAAAGTCGCAGGGCACAATTTCCTTCATCCTAGTCGCCCAATGGTGGGGGCGGGACGCGCGTAACCCAGAAGTGAAAGTCCGTTTCCTTCAGGTATTAGACCCCAACCACAGGAAGTCCCGGCCGGACGACTTTTATCCAGGCTTTGCTAACTCCCCCTCAGCTCTATTCACTGCACTGCCTGCATTGTGGTGCTCTGTCGCCGCGGGCCCTTACATCCACCCTCGTGGCCTAGCCTGTGTTTTGCCGCAACTTCCCAGGGACCCCAACAGAACCCTGCCACCCTTCCCTTAAAGAACCTTTACCCTACGGGTCCCCATCGGGGTCAATTAACATTCTCGAAGGGGGCAAAAACTCCTGGGATTTGCAGGTCCCGTAGCCCAGAGCAGCCAGGCCGGCGCCTGCGCGGGGCGTTACCATAGAGAGCAGCCGCCTCTCTGGTCTCGGTTTGCCCTCTCTATGGTCGAGCCGGGTCCGTGGCGGTAAAAGGGAGACTGTACTGCGCAGGCGCTCTCGGCTTCTATTTTTTTTTTTTTTTTTTTAATCCCCGCACCTAGCGCTTAACCTCATTGGGGTGGAGGAGAAGGCGGCGGCTGTCTGGTCGGCAGCGGCAACAGTAGCGAATAATATGACTGTAAGTACCCGGTTAGGGCGAGGAGATTTAGATCCAGCCCTCCGAGGCCTTTGCCCCCTCCCCTGCGGTGGCGGGCGCTGGGTCTGGGTGGGGGCGATGTCCAGCGCTGTCATCGGCTCTTGGGTGCACTTTGGGGGGAGGGGGCGGCCCTTAGGTGGGAGCCGGGCGGGGAGCGGGATGGGAGGGTTGTTTATCCACCCGGTAGGTCGCTGATCCCAGGCTGCTTTGCAAAGGGAGGAGGGGGCGGCTGTGGGGTCAGCCGGGCTTTGTGTGCCCCTCTCTCTTTTCCTCTCCCAGACCGCACCCCGAGCCCCCTTCCTGACCCGAGTCTTCCCGGCCCAGTGGGAGAAGCCAGCGAACAGCCCAGTCGCGTTTGAAAAGAGCCCGGGATTGCGAGGGGAGGGGGCGAGGGAGAGAAACCCACAACAACTAGTCTTCGGCGAGTGATGGGTGTGGAGAAAGATCCAGAGGGAAGGGGTGCTGGGGAGGCGGGCGGCCGGAGCTCCCAGCCGGGCCAGACAAAAGCTGAGCGAGCGGCGCCGAGCCGAGCTGGGGGCCGGGCGGGATGCAGAGGGTCCCTTGGTCCCTGGGGCCCGCTGAGAGCTTCTTTCCAAAGCTGGGAAAGCGGACAAGTGCTGAGTTAAGCCTTGTGCAGCCTCCTCAACTTGCCTTTGTTGTTCTTTGGTATTGGCAGAACCGCTCTGACGAAGATGAGTGTGTGATCTTGCACGTTAGCCTGGTTGGGTACAATGGAGCTAATCGAATTTTGCTTTCCATTTTCCGAGCCGCTCGGATGAGTATGGGGTTTTCCAGAGTCTAACTTATTACATAATGTTATTAAAATAGTTGTGTTTATTTCTAAGATTAAAAAAAATTAGGTGGAGCCTTTTGAAGCATGTTTTGTTGCATCCGGATGAATTTATTTGTTGTGGTGTTCGTTCATTCAATACAGACCGTTCGTAGAACCCGTGAGTTCTTTAATCATGATACTTTAATTTGTAGATGTGGCAGTGAGAGCTTCGGATTCTGTACTCCTTTGGGAGGCAGTGATGCAGAAGAGTCAGAAGGGAGAAATAGTTGCATGCTGCCATGTGCCTTGCATCCTATTCTGGTGCCACAGTCCCGTATGAATTCTAGCTTTAGAGATTGTTGCTTTTATTACTATTATTATTTGTGATATTTACTGAGCTTTGGTATGAGGGATCCTGGACAGTGGGCTCCTTTTGCTCATAAAGGGAGTGAGAGAATAGTAACATTGATGCAGAGACCTTATAGATAAAAACAAAAAACCACAATGTCCCAGAGTTAGTGAATATTATTTATCTTCTCCATTTGCCAAGAAAGATTTAAATTTTCGTGAGCTGTTTGCTTATTCATTTTGGTAAAATCGTGTAACTGCACCTTTCTTAGCAATTGTTACTCAAATCTGTTTCTGCAATTCATAGTTTGTCAGCTAACATGCAGCAGCACTATTTCAGATTTTTTAAAGTTTCGTTTTTTGTTTTTTTTTTTATACTGAGTTTTCAGCCCTAACTTTATATTCCCCCAACTAAGGTTTACCAAAGTTAGAAATCCTTTGAAGTGACCGTTGGTGGTGGGGGTGTCAAATATTCTATCTCCATGTTACAATCTAAGCTAAGTGGTAAATACAGAAAAGGCCTTTGCTAACCTGACACCTTAAATTACCTTTGGAATTGAAAACCTAGATCTCCTGGTATGTCAGGATTTGGGCCACACACTCAGCTTTATCTAAAAGAGGTAAGCATTTTTTGTACTAAAAGGAAGGAAAAAACTGAAGCTTGGTGTTTATGCTTCAATAACCACTGCGATAGAATCTCTTTAAGTGTAGTTCAGATGATGGGAACTTACTTTTTATAGAGCAAGATTTCAGATCCTTAAAATAGTTTGACAGGGACGCTGAGAAATGATTGGCCAAAGAACATTAAGTTTATTGTTCATATGTATTATGTTTTGTCCATTGGTTTTGGATTTAGTTTGTTTTTGCTTTAGTAGTTAATTCTGTTTTCTTGGGTAGCTCAGTTTCACAGTTTATAAGTTGAGTAAGAGATAGTTTCTTGGATCTGAGACCTAAATTTATTTTTGAGACTACATTTCTTAACAGTCTTCTATTTGTAAAATCATTTTTAGATTATAATACTTTTAATTTAGTATTATTGGTAAATATTATAACCACTTAAGTGATTATAATATTAGGCTTTAAGAGCTGAGTTATTAAAACTGCCAGTTTTGAAAACTGCAAGAAAAATGGAATCATATAAAAGTTTTCCTAGAAAATAAGAGAAGGATCTATTAGTCTTAAAAAAAAAAAAAAAGATGCAAAACTAAGCGAAGGACCAGTCGTTGATGATAGAGTTTTTGGTTTGTAAAATGTAATTTAAGAAAGTAAACGAACCTTTCTTTACCCAGGGCAAGCAGGGCAACCTCCATAACATGTGTGTGTTTGACTAAATGACCTCCAAAGGCCTTCTCCTTTTAAGCCCCAGAGTTTAGTGTTTATTTCTGGTGGATCTTCATCACCCCAGGGCTTGCCTGCCTCCTTTATGCTCAGACCAGTACTGCCATACTGCAGGCTTTTCTTCCCCAGATTCTTTTTTTTTTAAAAGATTTTATTTATTCATTTGAGACACAGAGACACAGAGAGAGAGAGAGCATGAGCAGTGGGAGAGGCAGAGGGAGAGGGAGAAGCAGACTCCCGGCTGAGCCAGGAGCCCGATGTGGGGCTCGATCCCAGGACCCTGGGATCATGACCTGAGCTGAAGGCAGACGCTTAACCATCTGAGCCACCCAGGTGCCCCTCTTCCCCAGATTCTTATGGCAGCCCCAACCCACCTCCCCACGTGGATCCCTAAAGATATGGCTCAAATGACGGCCTTTCTTTCATAATGCCTGTGTTGACTTCCCTCTTGTTTCCTGCCTGGAAATCTCCTCATTCCTTGCTGATTCCTGTTGTATCCATTACCTTCCTCCCTGGAAGATTGACGCCTGTGCTTTTATTCTTCTCCAGATCCTTGAGGGCTCTGGGGGTTTGTATGACACGATGGTATCCTCTGTACTTACTACCAGGACTTGTGTAACTAGGAGCTTGTGTAACTAGTCACGGTAGATGTGTGAGATGTGAAAGAATGAACAAATGTATCATAACTGAGAATAGAAGACTTTGAACTTTGGAAGAGCTCTTAGAGGCTCCATAGACCACTTTCCTACCTTTTGTCTACTCTGTTCTGATCATCAGCCTCACACTGCAGATGTGCTTCTCTGTTACTGGACAGGTCTTGGTTGCTAGAAAGCTAGTTTAGACTGTATCAAAATCTGCCACTCCCCTGTTACCTGTTCTTGGTTATACTCCTTGAAGCAACATGAGTTAAGTCTGTTTCTTCTCCACATAATAGCTTTCATTTCCTAGGACAGTCATCAAGCCTTCTGTAGATTTATTGATGAATTAATTTATTAAACTCTTTCTTTAGTTAGATACCAGTACCATTAGGGTACTGTTGAAAAGACTGTATGTTCCCCACACTTCCAGGGCTCAGTCTAATAGAGGGCCAGAATGTTACAAAGTGAGGCCAGTTATGCTGGAAGTATGTAAACAGGCTAGATCCTTTGTCCCCTCATGGTTTTTTTTTTTTTATTTTTAAAAAGATTTTATTTTATTTTTAAAAAAAGATTTATTTATTTATTTTAGAGAGAGAGCCTGCAAAAGTGCGCAAGCTTGGACTTGCAGGGGGGAGGGGCAGAGGGAGAGAGACTCTCAAGCCAATTCCGTGCTGAGTGCAAAGTCTGTGGGGCTCCATCTCACGACCCTGAGATCAAGACCTGAGCTGAAACCAAGAGTTAGATGCTGAAACCAAGAGTTAGATGCTTAACCGATTCTGCCACCTAGTCGCCCCAAGATTTTATTTTTTTAAAGTAATTCCTACACCCAACATGGGGCTCAAACTTATAACCCCTAGGTCAAAAGTCCCATGCTCTACCAACTGAGCCAGCCAGGTGCTCCCTCCCCTCATGGTTTAATCAGATTTCCCCATGCTGCTTTCTTTAGGCAAATGCAATGTCTGAAATGAAACAGAATTTGCTGTGACCTGACCAGAGTATACAGCTGTTGTCTTAGGTTAAGAAACTGTATCAAGAGTTTTCAAACTTTGTTGTACATTCTGGCTCTGCCACTTACTAGCCCTGTGACTTTGGGCCATGGGCCTGTTAAATCATCTCTTCCTATTTAATAATTTCATCTATAAAACAAGGGCGAGGGGAGGGCAGTGTTAACAGTAGTACCTACTTACAGGGTTGTAAGGATTAAATGAGATAATATTCGTCAAGTGCTGAGAGTGGTGACTGACATATAGTAAGTGGGTATACATGGTATTCCTACTATGTATTTGTGATAGGAGTTAATATTAATAACAACATAGTGTAAGAAGCAATAATCAAGTCACAGAATCACTTGAGTTTGTTAAAATACAAATGGTCTGACCTTATTTATTCCTGTCCACTCAGAGATTTTGGTCAATTAAGTCTGTGAGACCTGGACAGCCTCAGTTTTAGCAATCCTCAGGTGGTTCTTGAAAAAAACCCCAAAACCCTAAAGTTTGAGAACCCTGCACTCTGTTAATTTTGTTAGTGATTGCATTTGCTTTTACAAATTAAAAAAATTACCAAGTAATAGATGAATAGATTCTCCTGAAAGATTGAAACATTGCAGGGGCACCTGGGTGGCTCAGTGGGGAGCCTGCTTCTACCCTCTCCTGCTGCCATTTCCCCCAGCTTGTGCTCCTCTGTCAAATAAATAAGATCTAAAAAAAAAAAAAAAAAAGATTGAAACAATGCAGATAAAGGGAAGGGCTTGGCCCCAGATCTCAGGCCCCCCTGGGAGGCATATCCATCCACTTATCACTTTGAAATGTATCCTTCTAAACAACTGTTCCCCTTTTTGGTAGCTACACATAGATGAGTGTCTTCTTAATAATAAATAATAGCCAGATTTAAGGGAAAAAACCCTCGATTTTGAAAGCACTTTTACATTTGTAATCTTCTTTGCTCCCTTCAGACTCCTGTGAGGTAGATAGGGAAGATAACATCATTATCCTATCAATTTACAAATGAGAAACTAAGACTTGCAAGTTAAATCCCAGTCTGAGGTAGAGCCCGGAGGAGAGCCGGGCCTTCTATTTCTCAACTTAAATGTTCTTTTCCTGTCAGCTGGCTCTTAGCTTCATAATTTTGTTGGATTATTGAAGTTATGGTTCAGGAAATCTTATGATCTTTTTGCCTTGTGAATAGCTGCCAAACCAGATTTCCTCCTATCTTTTAGTGTGTTTCTACTTGCTTTTAAAAAAGTGTAAATTCAAAGTTTCATAGTTAACGCGTATCTGGGAAGATTGATCTTTTTTTTTTTTTTTAAAGATTTTATTTATTTATTTGAGAGAGAGAGAATGAGAGACAGAGAGCATGAGAGGGAGGAGGGTCAGAGGGAGAAGCAGACTCCCTGCCGAGCAGGGAGCCCGATGCGGGACTCGATCCTGGGACTCCAGGATCATGACCTGAGCCGAAGGCAGTCGCTTAACCAATTGAGCCACTCAGGCGCCCAAGATTGATCTTTTTGTGAAAAAAATCCAAAACTGGCCTTGGGACTGTTACCATGGTACATTTGGGTGAGTTTACGTTTGTTCAGGATAGCTGAATCCACTTTCCACCTGTCTCTGTAAGTGTTTCCAGTTAACTTTCCAAGCAGAATCAGTTAAATTTATTTATAGTCTTATTATAATAACAAAGCAATAACAGAAACTTGAGAGACCAGAGAGGGAAAAGCCACATCAAACCATCCTAACACAAGCTATTATTTCTTAATGTATCACCTTTGAAGCTGCCCATATGTTTGTACTTTTCAGTAAGTAATATTAGGTCTTGCATGTTTTGTGACTATTTTCCATGTAATGACAGACTACGTATCATTGAAGTTTTTTAATAGCTTTGTCATATTTGAGATGATATGGCAAATTTTGGGAAACTGGGATCCTTGACATGTAAGTATCTTTTTTTTTTTAAGTTTACTTATTTATTTAAGTAATCTCTACACCCAACGTGGGCGTCGAACTCATGACCCCAAGATCAAGAGTCTCATGCTCTTCTGACAGCCAGCCAGGTGCCACTTTTTTTTTAAATTATGTATACTACAACACGGTGACTATCTTTTTGCATATAGTTTGCTTCTTTTGTGTTGTTGCTTTAGGATAAATTCAAAGAAGTGAGTATTGGGTGATTTTTGATACACATTGTCTGATTGCTGACCAAAAAGTTGTACCAGTTAATAATTTTCCCAGCACCCTAAGAATGTTATCAGTTCCATAAAAATATTACCAACTTCTGGGAATATATTTTTTGTTACTGTGAGAGATGTGGAATGGCACATTATTTTTATTTTTCATTTATTTTAAAAAAGAATAAGCAGTAATGATGAACTTTTATATGAACCAGCTGTATGCAATTTGTATTGGGCATTACACGCGGGTGATCTTGCTTCCTTAGTTTTCACTCTTGCCCCGCATTGCTAAAGCAATTGCATTTCCAGGTAGATGTGGAGGAAATGCTCCCTTTGCTTTGTTGGACAGAATAGTCCTATTTGTCAACATCAGAATGTAATCTTATTACATTTTCATCTCCTACCTCCAAGAGCTTTTTGTGCTCAAGGACCCTGCTTGAAATATTTAGTAATCAGAATGTCTGGTGGTGCGGGTGAGGCATCTGCTTTTTAAACAGCTTTCCCGAGTGATTCTGAAGCCACAGTTTGAGAGCTGCCTCTGGACTACCTTCTAGCTCATTTTCTGCTTAGTTTCTTCCCATAGTGTGTCTTTCCTGTGGGTAGAGGCCGACTTTGTTATGAACGGTTGCTCAGACATGCTAACAGAGGCCTGTTGTACAGAGCGAATGAATTGTGTAGCAGTGCCCTTCCTGATGTAGAGTAGCCGGGTTCATTCTAGGAACAATTAGCCAGTCTTTCTAACAGTAGTTGAACTGCATAAAAACAGCTCCTTCTCTGAAGTCTTCTCGTGGTTGCTGGTGACTGTTTTATTTCAGTTCTGAGAGTCATAGAGCTCTCCAGACTCAAACCATATCCTGCTCAGCCTTTGGTTGGCCCAAGGGTGGTCGGTAGACCCAGTGTCACAATGGCAACAGTCACCATGGATTGAACACCCAACTTTTTATAGGTGTGCTTTTGCCAGCTCTTAGAGCAACATTTATTTATTTTTTTTTTAAAAGATTTTATTTATTTGACAGAGACACAGCGAGAGAGGGAACACAAGCAGGGGGGAGTGGGAGAGGGAGAAGCAGGCTTCCTGCTGAGCGGAGAGCCCGACGTGGGGCTCGATCCCAGGACGCTGGGATCATGACCTGAGCTGAAGGCAGACGCTTAACGACTGAGCCACCCAGGCGCCCCTTAGAGCAACATTTAAAGGCAGATGCCATTTTCATTTTACAATGAGAGGAAGCTGAGGTTTTGGAAAGTTGAATTATTTGTCCACAGTCATACAGCTGCAGAGTTTGGCTCTCAGATTCTTCAGCTTCCTTTCCATTTAATTCTGTTTTTCCAGAATTCTGTTATTCCTCGTTCGTGAAAGGTCAGTGGGCTGTCTTGGGAGAAAGTCTGCTCCCAGCATCTGGTGGCATCTAGAGATGCCTCCTTACTAGTCAAGAAGGTTGTAGAGCTCTAAGTTTCCCAGGAGGGTTTCCGTGAAGGTTAGATCAGGTGACTTACAGTTTTTTAGATTTGAGTCCCTGATTTGAAATCTACCCTTGGAAATCCAGGTCACTGAAGACATGATATAAACCTTTTTTTTCTTTTTAATTTATTTTTTATTGTGGTTAAAATATATATAACATAAAATAGGCCATTTTAACCATTTTTTAGGAATACCAGTCAGGGCATTACTTACATTCACACTATTGTGCAACCATCATCAGAGTCAGCTTCCAAATCTTTTCCATCACTCCAAACAGAAACACTAACCATTAAGCCTTAAGTCTCCGTCCTCCCTCTCCCTCAGTCCCTGGTAATTTATAATCTATTTTCAGTCACTACAAATTGCCTATTCTAGATATTTCATGTAAGTGTAATCATATAATATCTGTCCTTCTATGATTTATTCATTTAGCATAATGTGTTCAAGATTCATTCATGTTGTAGGATTATCAGAATGTTATTCTTTTTTAATTGGTGAGTAATATTTCATTGTATGTATATACTACATTTTCTTTATCCTCTCATTTGTTGATAGAACTTGGGGTTGTTTCCACTTTTTGACTATTGTGAATAATGCTGCAGTGTATATTGGTTTACAAATTTCCGTTTGAGTCTCTGTTCTCAATTCTTTTGGGTATATACCTAGCACTAGAATTAACTGGGTTGTGTGGTAATTCTTTGTTTAGCTTTTTGTGGACTCATTGAACTTTCCCAGGGTGGCTGTACCATTTGCCCCCCAGTGGCAGTGTGTACAATGGTTTCAGTTTCTCCATATCTTTGCAAACACTTGCTGTTTTCAGTTATTTTATTTTTAAAGTTATAGCCATTCTAATATTTTGAAACAGGATCTCACTGTGGTTTTGATTTGTTTTTCCATGATGATTAAGGTGTTACCTTTTTTGGGTAAATATCTATTCAAGTCCTTTGCTCAATATTAGATTGCATTGCTTGTCTTTTTGTTGTCGAGTTAGTTTTAGGGGTTCTTATATATTCTGGATATTAAACTCTTACCAGATATGTGATGTGCAAGTATTTTCTCCCATTCATTCTGTAGGTTGTCTTTACATTTTCTTGATCATGTTCTTTGATGCACAAAAGTTGTTAATTTTGATGAAGTCCAATTAATCTGTTTCTTTTTTTTTTTTAAGATTTTACTTATTTGACAGAGAGAGACACAGCGAGGGAGGGAACACAAGCAGGGGGAGTGGGAGAGGGAGAAGCAGGCTTCTGGTGGAGCAGGGAGCCCGATGTGGGGCTCGATCCCAGGACCCCGGGATCATGGCCTGAGCCAAAGGCAGACACTTAATGACTGAGCCACCGAGGCTCCCCAATCTGTTTGTTACTTCTGCTGCTTATGCTTTTGGTGTCATAGCTAAGAATCCATTACCAATCTGAGGTCATGAAGACTTACTCCTATGTTTTCTTCTTATGTTTTATAGTTTTAGCTCTTACATTTAGATTGTTGATTCATTTGAGTTAATTTTTTTTTACATGGTGTGAGGTAGGGATCCAACTTCCTTGTTTGCATGTGGATATACAGTTGTCCCAGCACCATTTGTTGAAGACTGATATAAATGTTTTAATTACTTATTTTCTGTGTCACTCACTGGCATTTATATATATATATATTTAAAGATTTTATTTATTTATTTGACAGAGAGAGAGACAGCGAGAGAGGGAATACAAGCAGGGGGAGTGGGAGAGGGAGAAGCAGTCTCCCTGCTGAGCAGGGAGCCCGATGCGGGGCTCGATCCCAGGACCCTGGGATCACGACCTGACCTGAAGGCAGACGCTTAACGACTGAGCCACCCAGGCGCCCCTGGCATTTGTATTTTGCTTTAGGTATTTGATTTCACTGCCTACCCTCCT